GCATGGTTTATATTAGTCTTAGGGCATCCTGGATTGGTAGTAGCACTAGTGGATGCTACAGGCTGCTCCTCCATCTTTAAGTTGGCATGAACAGCATTAAGAGCTGTCACTGAGAGTTATGGAGGCCTATCTGTGACTCCTCAGGAATAATATCATCTAGTTTTTTTGAGACTCTTCATCAGATAGAGCCTCTGCAGCCAAATGCTGCAGACAGGTCGCATAATGATTCTGCAGAGAACAGCATTGAGGTACACTTATGGCCTATATGGTCAGAGTCAGCATTAAAAACTGCAATTTGGCCTATGAGATAACTGTGGTGAAATATGCGGTTAAAACTGAGGCGTAGGCCACACCTGATGAATCTAAGAAAGGCTCTGAAGAATGTAGAATGTCATGTCCTTCAGAGGGAACACTGCAGGCCGTCTGGAACTGTTAGTGGATCATGTGCCAGAGGGACATGATACAGTGGGCAGCTTCACGTGTGTTTAGCAGGGACAACTTAGCTCAAGTACAAGGTAAAACCTTGGGTACTCACAAAGTGGCCATTGGAAGCAGGAGAGGTTCAATTAGGTGGAATAGCAGAAAGTAGCACAAGGAGCTTACAATATAAGGTTCCTATCACACATGCATAGATACAGAGTCAATTTAGACAGGCGCCAATTAACCTTCCAGCATATCTTTGAAGTGTGGGAGGAAATTGGAGGACCCGGGGGAAACCCATACGACCACAGGGAGAACATGCAAACTCCTTGCAGACAGTGTCCTGACTGTGATTCAAAGTCCAGTGGTGTCCAGGTATGCCCTCCAAAGATATAAACGGAGATTATGCCAATCTGGATACCTGCATAAAGAGACCGGCTCAAGCAGCTTGTAGATTGAAAAAAATAAAGGGGGGGGGCGTGGCGAGCTGCCGAGTAAGATGGCCGCGATCTGAGGGAGCTCCGCAACACCCGGTCCCCTACGAGCAATCATCAGCAACCAAACTCACCCTGCACAACACCGGATCACTCGTCTCGTCTTCCTGTACCCCTGAAACACCCGGGGCAGCGTAATGAGACACAGTAAGCGGCAGAAGGACGCGAGAAAGCAGCAGACACCCAGACGCGGCACACCCAAGATGGCGGGCACGCGTGCCAACCCCGATGTGTCTGCGTCCCCACTGCTTCTCTTGGGCGCCCATGACTCGTCCTCGCTGGACAGCCTCCCCCTTACACAGGGAGACGGCCTGGAAGACGCCAGGGAAGCCAGAGACACTGCTCTGCTAAAAAAATTTCAGGCCATGTTACACACTGAACTGGCAGCGGTCTCTGAAAAGCTGACTGAGACCCTGACTAGGGAGCTCAGAGAAATCGGCGCTCGTACAGACCAGCTTGAAAAAAAGGTTGACGATGTAATTGCAGTGATGGAATCACACGAACAGGATTTGGACACTGTAAATGCAGACCTCATTGCCCTCATGGATAAGGTCGAGGACATGGAGAATAGGGCCCGTCGCGGCAATCTCCGCTTCCGTGGCCTGCCTGAATCCATGGAGGACGTACAATCCACCATTACGGCCCTCCTACAGGAACTTTTGCCATCAATGCCCATGGAACGACTGGAGTTCGACCGCATACATAGGGCACTGGCTCCTAGACGACAAGAAGGCCCCCCGAGGGATATTATTGTCAAATTCACATTCTACCGCACCAAGGAAGAAGTACTGCGCTCTACCAGAGGCCGGAGAGAACTCCGCTTCCAGGGACATGCGTATCAGGTATTCGCAGACCTCTCGCCTACCACTATACAACAACGCCGAGCCATGCGGCCATTACTGGATTTGTTACGCAACAATGAGATCGCCTACAGATGGGGCTTCCCCTTTAAGCTTCTATTCGCGTACAAGGGCAAATCCTACTCCACCTCGACACCTACCGAACTGCGGAAGAACATTTTTGTTACAAAAAAATTAAAAATTAAAATAAAGGAAAAATCGTTGATAAAACAATTAGCTCTACTCCATTGACAAAAGACATCCATCCTCCAAGGACACTAGAAAACACTGAGGCATGCTGGGAGTGGTTCTACCATGCTGGTCACTGTATTTTTTTGCCATGGTCTAAATCTTTCTGTGACGCCCCTGAAAACTATACGCTAATTTTTACTATTTATTTTACTTGTGAGAGTAAAATCTTTCTGAGCAAATCTTGTTTTCAAAAGTAGTTTTTTTTCGATTTGCAGAGTATCTATAACCCCAACTTTTATTGGATTTAACATGTTATAGTGTAATGTTATACACTTCACTATGATAGCTCAATATTTTTTATAACATAGGTTACCCTCATCAACGAATGTAGAATACATATGCACCGACTAGTCACAGCATTATGACAAATAATCTTATTGATTATTATTATACAGGATTTATATAGCGCCAACAGTTTGCGCAGCGCTTTACAATATAGGGCAGACATTACAATCACAATACAATTCAAGACAAGATGGTAGGGAGGGCCCTCCCCCTGAGGGCTTACAATCTAAAAGGGAGGGGGAAGTGATACATGAGGAGGAAGCTGCGTGGGGATGAATTGTTTGAGAACGTGATGGTTATTCTGACTCCGATTGTTGTGATAGCGATGTATCCCTTGTGAGACCTCTATGCCTGGCCTGTATAAGTAGATTCAATCACTGAGGACATTCATTGTCAGATAGCTGAACTCACCAATACCGTTTCATCCACAAAGATTGCTTTAGTCTGCACATCAGACAACAGGATACAGCAGATGGATGGTTTTCAGTATTATGTGGTCAAAAGATGATGCCTTTCCTAGCGTACTATGCAGAGTACATGTGTCCTAGTTACATGTGGCCTGTTAGCGCTGGCCATGACACAGGAAGCACTGACCTCAGGAAGAAGGGTGGGGCTTACATAAAGAGGAAATACATCACAAAGGGAACACAGAACATGTTTGATACCAAGAAAGGCCACTAGATGGCAGCATGTGAACTTGACATATAAAACGTCCATAGGAAAAAGTATAGGGAAAACAAACTATATAAAACTTCTATTTAAATAAACTTCTATGCCCCATTGGGGCGGCACAATGGTTGAGCGGTTAGGTTGAGGTGGTATAGGCTGTCCTGAAGAGATGAGTCTTTAGGGATCGCCTAAAGGCAGTCAAGGTGGGCGACAGACGGACAGGTTGGGGTAAAGAATTCCAGAGGGTGGGGGAGACTCTAGAGAAGTCCTGGAGGCGAGCATGGGAGGAGTTGACAAGGGAGCTTATCTTCCTAAAATGGCACCTGGAAGTGGGTGATATATATTGGGCAGCAAGTGAACATTTTGTTCCTGAAATTGATGTGTTGGAAGCAGAAAAAAAGGGCATTTGTAAGGATTTGAGCATCTGTGACAAGGGCCAAATTGTGATGGCTAGACAACTGGGTCAGAGCAACTCCAAAACTGTATCTCTTGTGGGATGTTTCAGGTCTGCAGTGGTCAGGACCTACCAAATGTGGTCCAAGGAAGGAAAATCGGTGAACTAGCAACAAGGTCATGGGCAACCAAGGCTCACTGATGAACATGGGAAGCGAAGGCTTGTCTGTGTAGTCTGATCCAATAGAAGAGCTACTTTAACTCAAATTGCTGGAAAAGATCATGCTGATTCAAATAGAAAGATGTCTGAACACACAGCACATTGTAGTTTGTTATGTATGGGCCTGCATTCCCAACAGACTGGTCAGGGTGCCCATGCTGACCCGTGTCCACTGCCAAAAGTGTCTACAATGGGCACGTGAGCATCAAAACTGGACCAAGGAACAATGGAAGCAGGTGGACTGATCTGATGAATCATGTTTTCTTTTACATCATGTGAACATCGGGTGCATGTGTGTGCTTACCTGAGGGGAGATAGCCCCAGGATGGACTTTGGGAAGAAGGCATGCTTTGGACAATGTTTTGCTGGGAAACCTTGGGTTTTGCGATTCATGTTATGTTACTTTGACATGTATCACCTACCTTAACATTGTTGCTGAGCAAGTACACCCCTTCATGGAAATGATATTCTCTGATGGCAGTGGCCTCTATCAGAAGGATAATGTACCATGCCATACTGCAAAAATGGATCAAGAATCATTTGAGGAACACAACAAGGTAGAGGTGTTGATTTGGCCCCCAAATTCTCCAATTCTCTTCTTGAGCATCTATAGGATTTGCTGAAAAAACAAGTCTTATCCATGGAGGGCCCATTTTGGAACTTACAGGACGTAAAGGATCTGCTACTGACAGTGTGGTGCCAGATACCACAGCATACCTTCAGAGGTCTAGTTGAGTAAATGCCTCAATGTTTTGGTGGCAAAAGGGGGAACCTACTCCATATTAGTTGAGCTATCATAATGCTATAGCTGATCGGAATAGCAATATAAATATATATTTATTGGTCGACATTTCAATAAGGCAATTCTTGTCATTTAATGACAATTTCATGAAACAATGGTTCAATTCTTGTTTAGTCTTCTAAAATGTTTTACATGTCTCATAAATCAGTTTCAGGTCTGGCTCCTACGTCTAATAATTTCTTTGTTGACTTTTTTTTTCCTGGCACCTACATTTATAACACAACTTTTATTAACTGGCTTGTATGCTTCCCTTAATGATGGTTTAGAATTTTAACTTGAGTTTTCTTTAAAATAAGGATCAGTAACCCTGCCTATATGCTCTATATTCTCTACATGACTTTATACACATAAGTGTGAGTGGGTCCTACTTTTGGCCTCTTGTCACTGTTGCAATTGTTGTGGTCCACACCATTGCTATGCATGGCTAGATTAAAAAAAAATCCAAGCATGGTTTTCTAAATAACTGGAGGGATTGCTTTTACCTTTCCTTATATATATAGGAGTCTCATTAAGTAGAAGATACAGTAAGTACACACATTGTTATGTAGCTAGGTGACCTTTTAAAGCAAATACAATGTGATATTGTGTTATACCTCAACTACCAATTATAACACTATTATACTCACTTGGATGAATCAATGAAGTATATGACCAGGGCTCCAATGCTCAGAGCAAAAACCGTCACTACCTGTAAACAAAAAAACAACAGTGTCAATCATGAGGCAGAACACACTCGCACAAATAATATTCCTAAAGACTTTCTTGGTGGCTCTGTTACCAAAAGTAAGCAGCGACTGTACAGTACTATGTGTTGGCTATAAATTTCTGCAGCCATTATATTTTCTAAATCTCTCCAAAATAAGGAAAGGTCTGCTCTTGGACACCTATTACTAAAACAGATGTCCCATTGGAAGAGTCTCCACTTCCCTTACAATAATACAGCTTTGGGTTTCCCATAATTTTCTATCCAAGTGGAAATAGTCTTCATTAAACAATATATACACTGATGCTCCCTGGGAGAGGGGTAATTCACAACAATAAAGACATGAAAGAGGTTCTAACCCTTCCCTACTCTAGCTAAGACTAAAAACAGTATTTTTGTACTATTTGCAAAATCTGTTAAGAGTTGGAGATCATTAAGGGACGCAGGATTCAGTTATTCCCGGGACTATTGGGTTATATTGTCACCTACAGGAGGAACTGAACACTAGGAAACAAAACAATACATAAGAATCTTCGAAGCACCACAAAGAGCACAGTACCCAAAGGTAACATGCTAGGTCAGCTTCACTCCATCCATGCTGGGTCACACCAGAAGCTGTGCCACGGTTCTGTACCTGGAGAATGATATGAGGCTAACTAACATAGTACACAAAGGTCTGGAAAGCACCACAAGCAGATCCCACCACAATCTTTAGTCCAGTAGTACAGCCTTCAAGACATCACTGAGGAAACACGGATCCAGATAGCTACATATAGCACTGAGATGTGCATGTGGATGTAGTCATTACAGAAGCAAAAAAAAGGATACATGTGTGGATTTTTTGCTCCATGTAGCAGTTTTTTGTTTGTGAGAAAAGGAACAAAAGAGAGCGCCTCCATAGTGTAAAAATGTTATTTAATAGTAAAAACATGCAGCGAAGGCTGTACTTACAACAGTTCGGTAGAATAAAAACCAGTAGAATAAGGTGAGAGGATGGAACCCATGGCAGGGAGAATCTGGAACGATGTAAAACACCAGTAACCTCGATCCCTGTATTGATAAATGGTTTACGCGTTTCTGGGAAGGGGGCGGGCCCCAGAAACGCATAAACCATTTTTAATTCTGATGAAGGGGCGTGCCCCAGAAACGCGTAAACCAGGCTGTTACTTCGTTTTCTTTCCCATGTGTGGTGCAACACTTATTAAAGTTGTCTACTGTTATATGAATTCCCCTAGTCCATACCACAGTGAGCATGAATGGAACCTTGGTATCAGTAGAGGGCTTGTTAAAACCTAAACATAACTGAGATATAAAGGTTCCAGTTTATGAGAGCTGATAACAAGTGTTTGCAAATTACTGAAAAATGGATCAGGTTTTCACTTGTTAGCGACTGACCAGAAATATTTTAGTTGGCTTTTATTTTGCTCTTAGTCTGCTGTAGCCTAACAAATTTAAATAGTTTACAGTCTCTTAAGAATGTGCTTTTAGTGAGTGTGACCACATGTCTTTTCTTGGGTAACAAAAGTTATGTAAAATTGTTTATCTAAATAAGAGTGGCCAAAAAGGAAAAAATATATATTGTCTGTGACAAATATGCTTTGTTTGCTTTATAAACGGTAAATAATTCAGCTCTGCATTTCTTGTCCTTGACTGCTAAGTGGTCCACATGGGCAAATTTTTTTTGTTTTGCATTTTATACATCTGTACTAAAGTTTCTTTAGATAACACAAAAGATCCATGCAGACTTTTGAATGTTTTAAGTTTACTAGTGTTCTCCTTGAATAAACCTCAAACTCTGTTTCAATGCAAGATAGTGGTTATGATTTCTACAACAGCTTTGGTGGAAGGAGAGGTAGAAGATCTCAGCAACTCAGCCTGAGTAATGAAGAACCTGAAGAATGGGATGGACTAAGGCACAAGGTGGGTAGGATTTCTTACCTTTTCCTCTCCTTCTCTGGGAATTCTTAGAATTCAGTTGGTAAGTTTGACCAATGACTCTTGCCAGTGAAAAACTAGCTGGATTGCCCCATTTCAGCAGCCTGAGTGCAACAAGCCATAGTCAACATGTCACAAAAGCTTAACAACTGCTTGAAAGCAAGTCGTCTGTGACTAGTCTCCAATGTAAATAAGCTGCCACTTTTGTTGCATGGTCTGGCTGCACTAAAGGGAAAAAATGAAAGCAAAAGGGCTTGCTGTGTCAACACAAGAGCTACTGGAATGAGTGCAGAGTTGGGTCTGTGATCAAAAGTGGTGCAGTACCTGTGAAATAAAGTCATCATAATAAATGATCCTGACCAGTGGCGGAACTACCAGGGTCGCAACGGTCGCAGCCGCGACCGGGCCCTGGAGTTCCGCCAATTAGAGGGGGCCCAGGATGGTGGGTTCTGTGGGGCCTCAGGTGGGTGCGTTACTATGCCCCACACTCTCTCTTCTGGCTGTCTCTTCTCTCTCTCCTGGCTGTCTCTTCTCTCTCTCCTGGCTGTCACTATTCTCTCTCGCTCTCTCCTGGCTGTCTCTCTTTGCTCGCCCTCCCTCCTGGCTGTCTCTCTTTGCTCGCCCTCCCTCCTGGCTGTCTCTCTTTGCTCGCCCTCCCTCCTGGCTGTCTCTCTTTGCTCGCCCTCCCTCCTGGCTGTCTCTCTTTGCTCGCCCTCTCTCCTGGCTGTCTCTCTGTGCTCGCCCTCCCTCCTGGCTGTCTCTCTTTGCTCGCCCTCCCTTCCTGGCTGTCTCTCTTTGCCCTCCCTCCCTCCTGGCTGTCTCTCTTCGCTCGCCCTCTCTCCTGGCTGTCTCTCTTCGCTCTCACTCCTGGCTGTCTCTCTTTTGCTCGCTCTCCCTCCTGGCTGTCTCTCTTCGCTCTTGCCTGTATGTTCTGCAAAAAAAATTAAATGCTACACACTGCTAGAGCGTTGGGGTTTTGCTTTAAGAAAAGGTGGCAACCCTAATCAGCTCACCTCCCGGGTGAAAGGGGACCAGGGCTGGATCTAGCAAAAAGCTGAGGGTGCCGGGAAGGGAGGGGGGTGGAGTTTTGACCTGTGCAGGCTGTAAAATCCATGCAATGGCCCTGGGCCCCTCCGCTGGACATCCGCCTCGCTCTACCATCACTTATCACAGTTCAATTAAAACATTTTCATTATGGTTGGAAGTGGGGCCTCACATTTGAGTTTTGCCTAAGGCCTCACAAACTCTAGAGCCGCCTCTGCGGGGCCCTAGTAACCGCTGATTACCAGGATATGTAATATCCCGGTAACCCCTAATTATCAGTTTTTGTTTTTTTTTGTCTAAATTTTTTTTTTAACACAATGTACCTAATTATTTTCCTCTTGGGGGGGGGCCCTTCATGGATTCTTGCACCGGGGCCCTGAGGTCACTAGTTACGCCACTGATCCTGACATGTGGAGGAATATTGTGGGACATAGCCTTCAAACAGGTAATAACTATTCCATCTCATATTGAAATTGATGAAAATGACTATAGTTGTAGTACTCAGGGCTGTGGGCAAGCAGGGCTAAATGTAGAGCGGGGGAGCCGTTTCGAACAAGTGATGAAGAACCTTTGATATAGTTGCATGGGATAGTTAAAAATGTATATGCAACCTCCTTTTTTACCCACCCACATGCCCGTACATCTTATCTCCATCCTATTTCTGTAGTGACCTGTATCTTACCATTCCCCCCTCCCTATCCTACACATCTGCACATTATGCTCCTCATCTCAATCCTCCCACTGTATGGGACATGTACATTAACCCCCCCTTAATGATGTGCTGTACCTAGTGCACCATTACCAAGCTCCATATTGTAACTAAAAAAATTAGATCACCTTGGGGTGTCTACTTTCCAAAAACAGGTCTTTTTTTGAGTGGGGAGTTTGTACTGTCCTGGCTTTTTCCCCCCACAAGTTTTATAACAAAGTAAGAGAAGCCATTTTTTTAAAACAATGTTTTTGGCATGTTTTCCTTTAGTGTGTTTTCCTTTATAAGTAAAATAAATCAAATACCCAGTGGTTAATGAACACAACCAAAAGAAAGCTCTCTCTCACAAAATGATTTAAAATTAATTTGGATACATGATGCCAAGTAATTGTCAGTCAAACTATCACAGCAAAAAAATGGCCTGCTAATGAAGGGGTATATACAGACATGGCACTCAAGTTGTTAAGGCATTTTCTTTTATTTTACAATCGTTCTGAATATATTGTAACAAGGACACTCCACTGAAGACCGGAGGTGCAAGTACAATGCAGTTTATTTTCTTTCAATCTTGGTACATCATGGCAGCACACAAAGGGTTAATAGTCCACCCTCTTAACCCTATAGGACCAGCAAAAATATACCATACCTAAAAGTGGCCATGAAAGCTTTAAAAGCTTTTACACTAGAATTATTGCCCTCACTCTGACGTTTGCAGTGATATGTAACATGTGCGGAATTGGCACAATTGTCATTTTCGCACGTAGGAGCAACCGACCCATGTTTACAAGCGTGTATGTGGGGCTGGGGACTTTAAAAACATTTTTGTGTTTTTTTAATTCTTTTTTTATGTGTGACTTTATTTTTTTACTTTAATTTTCTTTTAACTAAACTGTATCACATAAGGGACTAAGAAGCCCCCTATGTGACAGCAAAGAGGATGTGACAGGTCCTCTTTATGGAGACATCAGAAGTCTTTAAGACCCCTAACGTCACCTAGGGACCCCCAAAGAAGCTGATGAAGCAGAAATCTGCTTCATCTGCTTCTCTCCAGCTTCTGTAGAGTGACAGCAGAATATGTTGGCGCTATATAAATAATTGTAAGTAGAGCAGTGTGCTTAACAGGAAGAGGCATGCGAATGTGACTGTTAGAAAACTGAAAATTATATCTGTGAGGAACCAGGGCATGTATACGCTGATATTTTTGAGGAGCCCTGTATATTACATACAGTATGTTCATGTGTGGTTATAAATATGTACGAACAAAAACATGAGCTCCTCAGAGCTCATGTTTTTCCCT